ATTATTATATATACTATTATATATATAATAAATAATAATAATATAATATGTATAATATATATTACCATAATTAACACTAGACTCACTAAGCAATTAGACAAATTTTTCCAAATTTCTTTATAAAACTTCTGTGTATTTATCAACATTTCAATTGAATTATATTTCAGTGCAGGTATTACTAAGTCAGCTTCTTTAATCATTTCTTAAAGAAACATTCGTGCCTTTGCAGTAATTGTAAAAGAAGAAATTAGGAATTGGTCATATCGACCCACTTGGTGGTTCCAGTGTTAACAGTGCATCTACACTAATGATACTCATCAGAGAATGTACTGTAAGAGAGAATGTAAAAATGAAAGGTTTACAAAAAGAATGGTTTTACTTCTATTTCTGAGTTCTCGAGAAAAGAAAGCTCTTGTGAAATGCCACTCAGACACTGACATCATAATGTTATTGATAATATTAATCACTATTAATTATCAACATCAGTAATTATAATATTAATTTTATGTAGTGAATCACTGTTATTTATTAATTAATAATCGTTATAGATAATAAATAATCGTTATTATTAATTAATAATTGATCATAAAAAATAACAAATATCATTTATTATTCATTAATAATTAATTATAAAAAATAATGAATAATCGTTATTAATAATCAATTAATAATTAACCATCAAAAATAGTAAATAATCGGTATTTGTTATTAATCAACAATCAATCGTCAAAAACAATAAACATCATTTATTATCAATCAACAATCTATCCCCAAACATAATAAATAACCCTCAACTATTATTACCCAACAATCAATCGTCAAAAATAATAAACAATCGTACCATCAATCATAATCTCATTCATTAACATTATCAACAATACCAATCACTACTAACAACAATCGCAAAACACCACTATCTAACAAATCCCGGAACACTTCACAAAACCATATTTTCCCACAGAACCCAAAAACAGAAGTAAAATAAAACATTATTCTAAACAATTCAGTACACCCTAACAATAAAACAGCTGACACTGTACAATCGAGGACAGAACGAGGATGCCAGAATCGAAATTTCGACGAGGGAAGTGGATAAAACTGCATAATTACAGGGGTCACGGACCGTGATCGCTTTCTACGCAGGTCGGTGACCACAATCCAGAACTCGGTTACGCTGGAATGCACAGGGAATCCTCTTAATCGCATGCGAGAAAGAAAGCTGTGCGTGAAAAAAACGTGTTCTTTTCAGGGGATCTCCGAATTTCGTGTAGTCCGTTTTCTCGTTGAACGTTCGATAAGCATGAAATTATTCGATGCATTTGTAAACGTCAGTCTAGTTAGAGTGTAACTAAAATACGTGTTGCTGCGTTAATATCGGTCGAAACGTGCAGTATACTGGCGATTATAGTGATGCTCGGTTAAATTTTAAACTTCTGTGAAATTTAACCGAGCGGGATAACAAAGGATAGATACTTGGTTGGAATTGACTTGAGCATAGTTTGGCAAAACATAAGATGCATGTGTCGAACACAAGATTGCAATGAAGGAAATTTTAATTTCTAATTATTTTAACGTATGTTTTTGAGTGTACTTCCATTGAATTGCTGAGATCCTGCCGATTAAAATGAGTACCAACACGATGGGTATCGGATTAGTTTTACCGAATTAATGAATTAGCGAAACTAAAGGCTCGTTTCTATGAAATTGATGAAACTTGTCCGATTCACGTCGTGTTTGGGCTCATTTTAACGAGAAGAATCTCAATATTCTATCGATACTATGACCGAGAAGGCTAAACGTGCAACGAAGAAAATTTCGGTTGCAGTAATTTTAACTTAATCTTCTTAAATATAGTGACAGTGAATTGCTGATATTGTGCTGATTAAAATGAGTACAAACACGATGGGTATTGGATTAGTTTCACCGAATTAATGAATTAGCGAAATTAAAGGCTCGTTTCCATGAAATTGATAAAACTTATCCGATTCCTATCGTGTTTGGGCTCATTTTAATCGGGACAATCTCAGCAATTCAATGGTAATATATTTGAGAAGATAAGGTTGAATAAGGTATTAACACATGAAACGTAAAAATAAAACAATTCTGGCCCATAATTTATGCAAGATGTCCCTTTCTGTAATTTGCAAATAATATTGTCAATATTTTGTCAGAAAATAATGATTGCTTGTAATGAGAAACATTGCTAATATTTTGTTAAAAAATAATGATTGTTTGTAATGAAAAATATTGCTAATATTTCCTCAAAAAATAATGAATGTTTATAATTAGAAATACTGTCAATATTTCATTAAAAAATACGAATATTTATAATTATAAACATTATCAAATAATTAACCCTTTGCACCACCTGACTCTCGTTTCCCGCGGAATATTCCGCTTATGGACGCAAATGGGTTAACCACCTTCCATCGTTCCTTTTTCGCAGTTTCGTCACAGCTGCTTGCGTTTCGGATTCATCTAATTGCATAGTTGAGGTAGAAAGTGCAAGCTGAACGATTCATAACCGGCGTATAATCACTGGCATGACGGAGTGATGCACGAATGATGGTCGTGTAGGCAGGTATGTGGAGTACCCGCATAAATCATTGTGTACCTGACTTTGTTTAGACCTGCATGCTTTTTTACAGGAGCTTCACTTGAGGCGAATCATTTTATCTCGTTTTATCTCGTTTTATCTCGTTTTACACGATTCGTTTGGTTCGACGAGAAGTGGAACGAAATTGTACGATATTATGAGTGTTTTGTTGATGTTATGTTTTTTGAGGCAATTCCTTTTAATTAATTTACCTTTATGAGTAATAAATATTGATTAATAATTATTAACAGTATTAGTATTATATTTTTAGGGTAATTCTGTGTAATTATTTCCTCTTTACTAATTACTAAATAGTAATAAATAGTGATAGTGTTAATACTATAGTTTTAAGGTAATACCTTTTAATTAATTTATCTTTACTAATTACTAAATATTAATTCATAAATAGTAATAGTGTTAATATATTTTTAAGGTAATTACTTGTAACTAATTCCTGTTTACTAATAACTACATATTAATTAATAAATAGTAATAGTGTTAGTATTATATTTTTAATATAATTCTTTTTAATTAATTTGTCTTTATTGATATGTTCTAAATATCAATTTTATGTATCGTTCGTTGCATGTAACTTGGCATTTTAGTCTGATTGGTCAGACTCAAATAATAAAATGTATGCTCATCAAATCCAGGGCAAATATTTAATTTTATTGTTGATTATATAATCAGAGATTTTTCAAATTAAATTCCATAATTAATTATTCAATGCCACCTTTTAAAAATATTCTCTAAACTAAACATTGCAGACAGATATCACGAAAGGAACTTATGAAACAACCAGATAGTTCCAGACGCATCACTCCGTTCCAGTGGATAGGTTTAATTAGCTTTTCCTACCGTCGTAACGAACAGGGTATCGAGTACGAAAGAATCCTTGAGAATAATTTATTATCATTTTCACACGAAAGAAAGAGGACTGAACGGATGGTTCGATAAGATAATGTTCCCATATATCTGACAATGGGCCAGGAAGCGAATCTGATGTTCATTTCATTGAATAGCCAGGATGCAGGATGGATCAGCGTTTAACAGGAAATACATGCATTTCCTTCGGAAATGACCATGTAGTAGGGAAATATGACAAAAATAGATATATGTATATAGAATAGTAGATGAATGTAATAAAAATATATCTATATAGAATAATAGATAAATATAATAAAAATAGTAGATAAATATGACAAAAATAATGTATATAGAATAATAGGTAAATATAATAAAAATAATAGATAAATATAACACAATAAATAACAGATAAATATATCAGAAATAGTAGATAAGTACAATAAAAATAACAGATAAACATAACAAAATATATTAATAACTAGGATAGACGATCAAACTATTTAGAATGTTTTTTTATGCAAAAGATAGAAAAGCCTAATTCAGTTACTCAGGTGAATGGATATGGAAGTAGACAATGGATTGCTGAAGCTTTTCTGATTAAAATGAGTCCAAACACGACGTGAATCGGAGTAGTTTTACGATTTCGTGGAAACTAGCCTTTAGTTTCGTTAATTATACTAAATCGGTAAAACTAGTCCGATTCCCATCGTGTTTGGACTCGTTTCAATCAGCACAATCTCAGCAATCCACTGTCACTACATTCAAGAAGCTAACGTTAAAATAACTACAATTAAAATTCTCGTCATTACATATTTACATTTGAAGCGTGCGTCCCTCTAAAGTCACACGTCTCGACCCTCACTATATCGATTCTCTGCCTTCTCAGACTACACTCGGTCAGTATACTTTATTCGCTGTTACCAAATTCAGATCGCGCAAACCGAGATCGCGCGTAAAAACTACAGCGTAAATAGCGTCCCAACTTACCGCGTAAAAAAGAGGCTCGCGTGAAAGAGGTCCGCGTAAAAAGAGGCTCTCGTAAATAGTGTTCCAATTTTCCGCGTAAAAAGAGGTTCACGTAAGAAAGTTCGCAGAAATAGTGTCCCAATTTCCTGCGTAAAAAGAGGTCCCCGTAAAAAAGTTCGCATAGTGTCCCAATTTTCCGCGTAAAAGGAGGCCCGCGTAAAAAGAGATCCGGGTAAAAGGAGGCCCGCGTAAATAGTGTCCCAACTTACCTCTCCGTAAAAAGGAGGCTCGCGTGAAAGGTCCGCGTAAAAAGAGGGTCAGGTGTATCTTCAATTAGTTTCATATAGTTCAATTCAGCGTTTCCATAATTCCAATACAGGGTTAACGAATAAAGTGTTAATGAGAGAAGAAAACCACTCACCGCCAGGATCGGCGGCTCCAGGTTCAGGTCGATGGGGTTCATCACAATGAACACCTGCTGGTTCTTGTGGGTCAGGCCGCCGGGCTCGCGGAGCGCCGCCTTGCAGTAGTATTGCACCCATCCGTGCTTGCCGAGGAAAGTGGAGGGCAGGCCGAGGGGCAGGCCTAATTTGAATGGAAAGCTGTGGATCCCCGGGGACAGCAGCGACGGTCCTTCTCCTGGCGGGCCGGTGTCATCGAACGGAAAACAAAGAACAGTTTCGGCATTGTTATGCCGCGCGTGAGCCACAGGTGCGGCGATTGTATGACGGAAAAATGTATATTCGAGAGAGGAGACCGTTCGACTCGGTCGATTTGAATACGCATGCGTCGCGCATTCCGACGCTTTCCGTACGTGCACGGTTTTGAAGGTTATGTGCGGAAATGGGACGAGCCTAGGGTGAGGATTTGTTGTGTGTTATTGTGTATCGGTGGACAATCTATTTTTATTATTTATTTATTTTGCTAATATATATGTGTGTAATATTTATTAATTATTTGAGACTTGATAAATTAAAAATCAAAATATTTGTATACTCATGAAATTACCGGATTATAAATAAATTTATTTGATAATCATAGTTACCAATATATTTTTTGTAAAAATCCCTATTTATTTAAACTATTTGCTAATAAATTTATTTTAATTTACGCAAGGGCAGTATTTTGTATAAAATTCCTATTTATTTAAAATATTTTCTAACAAATTTATTTGATAATCATAATTATCAATAATATATTTTTTATAAAATCCCTAATTATTTAAAATATTTCTAATAAATTTATTTTAATTTGCATAAGGCAAGTATCTTTCATAAAAACCCTATTTATTTAAAATAGTTTCTAATAAATTCATTTTAATTAACACAAATTATTATAGCAATTATTATAGCATAGATTGTAATGATATAAGAGGAAAATTGAAAGGACTGTGACTGCAGGTGTTTGTTATTAAGCCATTTGCACTATTAGTATGTAAATATCCAGGTATATACGTTGTTAAGGTAAATTGTTAATAAATAGTCGGTTAGTATTAGTAAATTGTTATATTAGTAAATTATTATATTATCATATAATATATTACAAATACATATTATTATATTACTAAATTATTATATTACTATATTATTGTATACCTAAATTGTTATATCACTAAATTGTTATACCACCAAATTGTTACACCACTAAATTATTGTATTACTAAATTATTATATGCCTAAATTGTTATATCACTAAATTATTATATGCCTAAATTGTTATATTACTAAATTATTATATTACTGAGTTATTATATTCCTAAATTGTTATATCACTAAATTGTTATACTACCAAATTGTTATACCACCAAATTATTATATACCTAAATTATTATATGCCTAAATTGTTATATCACTAAATTATTATATTACTAAATTATTACATCATTAAGTTATTATATTACTAAATTATTATATGCCTAAATTGTTATACTACCAAATTGTTATACCACCAAATTGTTATACCACCACATTGTTATACTACCAAATTGTTATATTGCTAAATTATTATATTACTAACTTATTATATTACTATATTACTAAATTATTATATTATCATCTTCTTATCATTATTATTATTATTATTAGTTGTTATTAATACTATTGTTATTACAATTTCTCTCCACCACACCCCCAAACCATTCCACCACAAACCCACTCACTCACATCCACTCAACCATCCAAATCTACCAAACTACCAACACCCATCATTCCATTGTATTACATAATACAAATATATTAAAGTCACCCTCACCTAAACTACCCCTTATCGACAGAGTCCTGTCATAAGAAATAAATCTATTGTAACCATTTCTCATTGTCAATATTTTGTTAGGAAATACTGAATGTCTGCAATGAGAAATATTGTCAATATTTTGTAAGAAAATAATGAATGTTTATAACTGGAAATATTGTCAATATTTTGTTAGGAAGTAATGAATGTTTATAATTGGAAATATTGTCAATATTTATTTAGAAAATAATGAATATTTATAATTGGAAATATTGTCAATATTTTGCTAGAAAATAATGAATGTTTATAACTGGAAATATTGTCAATATTTTATCAGAAAATAATGAATGTTTGCAATAAGAAATATTGTGAATATTTTGTTAGGAAATACTGAATGTTTGCAATGAAAAATATTGTTAATATTTTGTTAAGAAATAATGATTGTTCGCAATGAGAAACATTGTCAATATTTTATTAGAAAATAATGATGGTTTGGAATGAGAAATATTGTCAATATTTTGTCAGAAAATAATCAATATTTGCAATGATAAACATCATCATCCTATCACTTACAAAACTACTCCTATCGACAGAGTCCCTTCACAATAAATAAATCTACCCCATCCACTTCTCCATAACCGACACCACCAAATGCACCATAATTTCCATTACCTGGCTCCCCCAGCAGTCTCATACGAAAATCTATGTAGTTCTCCTTGTCGTAGACCCTCTCGGCGCGCTGGCTGCGCACGCGCACCACTCCCTCGCCGATCACATGGAAATGCAGCCCTGAAACGCTGCGACATACGAAATACAACATTGAAATTAATAGAATGGTAAAATAACATTGAAATTAAAATAAATACTAAAATAACATTGAAATGGAAACAAATGCTAAAATAACATTGAAATGAAACAAATATTATAATATTGAAATGAAACACATATCATAATATTGAAATTAAAATGAATACTAAAATAACATTGAAATGAAAACGAATATTATAACATTGAAATTTATAAGACGTAATCATGAATTTCATTCTATATAACCTTAAATTTTAACATTATTGTTATTGTTATTATTTGTTAATTACAGTAAGTTGGTAAAATTAGTTCGATTCCCATCGTGTTTGGACTCACTTTAATCAGGACAATCTCAGCAATTCACTGGCACTATCTTTGGGAAGATAAGATTAAAATTACTGCAATTGAAATTTTCTTCACTACATGTTTAACCTTACCTTCTCAATCGTAGTACCAGTGAAATGTCGAGATTCTTCTGATTAAAATGAGCCCAAACACGACGTAAATCGGACTAGCTTTTCGATTTCATGAAAACGAGCCTTTACTTTCGTCAGTTACATCAATTCCGTAAACCTAGTTCGATTCGCATCGCGTTTGGACTCATTTTAATCAGAAAAATTTCTGAAATCCATCGGTACTGTAATTTAGAAGGTAAGGTTAAAATTACTGCCATTGAAATTTTCATCGTTGCGCGTTCAACGTTACCTTCTTAATCATGATACCGATAGAATGTTGAGATTCTCCTGATTAAAATGAGTATAAACACGATGGGAATCGGACTAGTTTTACAATTTCATGGGAACGAGCCTTTAGTTTCGTCAATTACATTAAATCAGTCAAATTAGTCCGATTCCTATCGTGTTTGGACTCATTTTAATCAGGACAATCTCAACAATTCACTGACACTGTGTATGAAAAAGTAAAGTTAAAATTACTGCAACCGAAATTTTCTTTATTGCATATTTAATCTTACCTTTCATAACCTAAACATTGCGTGTTTTATCTTAATCTTTCTCAAATATAGCGCTAGTGAATTGCTGACATTATGCTGATTAAAATCCATTTAAATATAATTTAAAAATGTAATGACTTATATATGATTTAAATATAATTTAACAATAGAATAAACCATATAACATTTAAATATAATTGAAAAATATAATAAAGTATATACAATTAATATATAATTTAAAAATATAATAAATTATACACGATTCAAACATAATTAAAAAACATTATAAATCGCATACAATTTTATAATTTCACTTATTTCCCGAGACCTCCACGAGATCCCCAAATGCATAAAACTCTGCAGTCCAACACCTAATTAATTCCGATAGAGTGAAAACACATTTTCAGCGGTTTCAATTGAGCAACAGCAGAGGCGTAGTTATGGTTACGCATTACAAGCGTATGACACAAGAGGCATTAAAAATACAAATCGCCTAACAACTTTTCATTTGCTTCTGCGATCATCTACGATCCACAGTCGCGCATCGGATCGTGAAAGTGACCCGCCTACAATCGAACTAAATACGATTCGAATGATTCCAATGAAATCTGATGAATTTAGTTGTGAATTTTGTTAAAAAATTGTTAAATTTAATTTTAGGTCCTGGTAAAAATTCTATTTGAAAAATTGTTAACATTAATTTTATATTTTGGTAAAAATTTGTTGTTCAGTAACACAAAAATAAATATATTTAAAAATTATTAACGTTAATTTTACATTCCGAGGAAAATTCGTTATTCACTAACAAAAATAACTGTATTTACAAATTATTGAAATTAATTTTACGTTCCGGCAAAAATTTGTTATGGACGTTATTTGCTAACAAAAATAAGTAATTAAAATAAAATTCTTAAAAATAAAAAATCCACTGACACTGAACAATGTTGTATCTATAAAATTATTTATTCTAACCTGTATCAAAATAACAATAACCCAAAGACTTCCATATTTTGTTTTATTTAAAAACATTAACACAATATTCTTAAAAATTAACACGTAATTCCTAACTAAAAATCAAAATAAAAAACCCACTGACACTGAACCATCTTGTATCTATAAAATTATTTATTCTAACCTGTATCATAATAACAATAATCTCGACTACCATGTTTTATTTAATTTAAAAATATTAACAATTAACACGTAATTTCTAAGTAAAAATAAAAGTCCTATTGGCAGTGAAACTTCCCATACCCACAAAACGATAAATCCCAACCGTCATAATAACAATAACCTATCCCACCATCTCCTAACACAAACCCAACAATCACATTCTACAAAAACTCCGAAGCCCACGAAACCCAATCGCTTAAAACCATCTCCCAAAAGCACTGCACACTCGAGTCCACTTACTAAGCCTCGTCGTCCAGCTCGATGATCACGCGTCCCGACAAGAAGTGGCCCGGGAAGTACAGGAGGTTCGTGTTGTCGAACAGTATCAGAAACTTGCTCAACTTTCGCGTCATGATTCCGTCTCACAGAGCACACGGTGCACAGTCACTCGCAACATTCACTTCCGAACGGCCGCGCGGTAACTGATTATGCGCGGAGTCGCCACAAGCACGCAATTTTTCCCGACGCACGCGAGGATCGTACGCTGGACTCGCAGCACGCCCATAACCTTGCACGCGTCCCCTCGTTGGAAAGCTGCTGCTGCTGCTGCTCGGTCGGCCGGGCTCGGGACACGTCTCTCGAGGCAGCGTCGCGGCGCGATCGCATCCTCGCCGCGCGCCGAAGGGACCGAGAAGGGACGAGGACGGACGAACGACTCGGCGCGGACCGAGTGCGCCGCGGGCGACGCAGCGAGCCTCTTCCTGCCCATTCTTGGTGCGCGCTCACTTTCGCTCCC